GGAATTCGAAAGAAAAACCAGGCTTCTAGAAGTGAGGGTTGAAGCAAGGAAAAGAGGATGGGTAGTGGTGGTTAAGGACAGAGTCCTGTGAAAATTAAACTGGGTGGTAGCAGAGGGAGAGAGGAGGACATTCAAGACAAACATGAGCAAGACACTGGTCCATTCAAAATGGGGGACATTCAAAATGGGAGCCTCTATGAAGCTCTGGCTGCTGCCTTGAAACTGGGAAGTCGCCTGAATGTGCCAGGCCAATGAGTCTCAGTTTCCTTTCCACCAGGGATTACTGAGGGGCATTTGGCAAATGAGAGGTCACTGTCCCCTTGAAAAGAGCAAAATGGAATGGAGAATAAGCCCAGTGCTGGGAACTGAGGATGGTATGATATTAGTTAAGGGACATAGACAGGAAGACGAGTAGGGATTTCTTTCAAGTCTCTGTTATCTTGGTAAGAAGGTTCTTAAAACAAAGAAAATAGATAGTATATATTAGAGAGTCTAATTTTATTGTTCTGGAGATAGAAGTATACAGCAAAGTCCTTGTTCTAAAGGCTGTACAGAAGATGGACAAGTTTACAAGTCTTAATAACTTGGAGAAACATCTAACTGTGAGACCACAGAGGGGCAGCCACTCTCCTGCATAATCAGTGGACTTCAAGGAAGAAATGAATAGTATTGAAGTGAAAGAAGGAATTGTAGTCTGTGGGAGGTTCAATAACATGAAGACTGTGGCAAAATTAATCCTTCCAGCTTCATAACCGAGTCTGGTGATGCTGCAACTCACACACAGAAGTACCAACGGTTTAGGATTTGGCAAAGTCAATCAGAAAGGACATAGTGGCTTAAGCCTCTAGCCTTAGAAGTTGAAATGACTACTCATGAGGTTAATGTGGTAAGACAAGTAAGTCTGAAAACAAGGGAACAAATAAAGGAAGAAAGAAGAGAGGATCTAGCGGCAGTCAGGAAACAGCCTGGGCCACCAGGATGCTGAATTTCATCTCTCTCAAGTCCCATGAAAGCTGCTCAAACCTAGAAGGAAACTCGCCTTGAGCCTGCAGATCTAGGAGCTACATTTCACTTTCTGTGAGTCTGTGGTTGGTCTGATGAGAGCCGGTTGTATGCAATGGTTCTCTAATCTCCTGTGCAGAAAGTCACCCCACAAAAATAGAATTGACATTGAATGAGCTTGAAGGGGAATTGGCAATCTTGGGGCTTCTAAGGGTTGAGTTAACATGGAAGCCCTATTAGATTCTGTCTCCAGGTCAGCCTCATCAAGGCAGATTTTTTAGGAATAAAAGAAAAGTAGGCAAGCTAATTGCCAGTGACTCCTGCCTGTAATGCCAACTCCTTAAGAGGCTGACATCTATGGATCACAGTTCAAAGTCAGCAGGAAAGGGTGAGAGCCTGTATCTCCAATTAATCACCAAAAAGCCAAAAGTAGAGCCGAAAGTGGCTCAAGTGGTAGAGCTCTAGCCTTGATCACAAAAGCTCAGGACAGCACCCAAGCCCTGAGATCAAGCCCCAGGCCCAACACACACACACACACACACACACACACAAGTCTTCAGATTTTCTGTAGTACATGGAGCTGCCTGGATACTTTTTTTTTGGGGGGGGAGGGTCCAGTCATGGGACCTGAACTCTGGGCCTGGGCACTGTCCCTCAGCTCTTCAGCTCAAGGCTAGCACTCTACCACTTGAGCCACAGCGCCACTTCTGGATTTTATTCTTTTTGCTTATGTGGTGCTGAGGAATTGAACCCAGGGCCTCAGGCATGCAAGGCAAGCACTCTACCACTGAGCCACCTTCCCAGTCCCCTGGATACTTTTTTAATTGTATATAAACTAAAGAGAAGATGGGCCATTTATCTTCCTCATCTCTGTAAACTACTTCTGAACTTTGGCATCATGAGGATGCTAGGTCTTTGATAACAAGGTTTCATAAGATGCCAAGACACATAGTAGAGAGTATATCCAGTTGGAGGCTTACTGATGAATATATGCCTTCTGGATCCAGTGGCTTACAGAAACACTGGAAAGGGTGCTTGAATCTCTAGCTGGAAGACTGAGGGTGGCTGTAGTCCTCAGTTAAAAATAAACAAAGTAGATTATGACTTCAATGTCTCTTGAGGGCAGAAATAGTCAAGCTTTTAGGCTCTGGAATGACTTAGTTTAGCTCTGCAACTTATTACCATTGAAAACTGCATCATGTTATATAAGGCGTTGGGCTTGCTGCCTGAGGTTCACTTGCCTCTATTATTGGCAAACAAATGGTAAATGAGAAGTGGAAATCAGCCTTTATCATGTGGCACAGCTTTCTCTCATGTGTGCAACATCCCCTCTGCCTGCGATGTCTTCACTTCCTGTCTGACTCACTTAGCTCAGGTTTAAATGCCATATTTTCCTAGGAAAGGTGTTCTGAACCTCTGAAACAGACTAAATTTCCTACCCAACATCCACTGCCACCTTCTCTCTTTTGTTCAGGTATTCATTTTTCAAAGAAGACATTCCTGAAGATCTCCTGAGCAGTTCTTGAAGAGTGTTAGCCAACCAATCATGACAATCTTCTCCACTCCCAGCAATTAGGGATGAGCATGTGTGACTTGGTTTTGACTATTGACAGACAAAAAACGCTCACGAGAAACTTCAGAGGACTTACCCACCCTTGAAAAGAGACACTCTGCTAACCTTGGGAATGCGCAGGATTGCTTAATTGGAGCTTCTAGTTCATAGCTGGCTTTCTGGGGGTGGCTGGAAATAGTGGGGATAGTCCAGAGCCCTTCCTGATATTGCTGAGCTGCTGAATCTACCAGCTGGCACCTTCTGACCTTCGGACTTTTTGGCCATATGAAACAGTAAATTCCTTATCATTTCAGACATTTTCAATAGAGGTAATTATTAACAGTAGTCTTTGATGATGACCCCATGTTTTCTTCTCTCATATTTGCCTTCATAGTATTCATCACCAATGGCATTATTCTGTGTTTTTGTAATGTCTGCTTCTCCATTTGGATTGTAGCCTCTAAATTAAGAGATGACAAGGTTTTTTTTTTTCTTCTTCTTGAATTCCTGGTTTTTGCACTGGCCTTAAGTTGGAGGAGCTGTGGAAGGCCCTCTGTTAAAAGACTGAATAAAGAATTCAGTAATGGTCATGATGCTTCCAGGCCCTCTTCCTTCCCCCTCCTGCTCTTCTTCCCTGTTCAGCATGGTTGAGCTCATAATTCAAGATTGCTAGGAGAGAGCTGAAGTTGTCTCTCAAATTCTGACTCTAGGTAATAGCCTGTCCCCCATCAGTGGCTTTTAAGCTTTTTCCTCAGTGAGCAAGAAGAAAGTATATGTAACGTATGTGACCTAGGGCGAACATATCTGAATTTAACAGCAACAAAAGATTTATAAAACAGTCTTACTCTTCCTATGTGCAACAACTCTACTATTTTATTCTACTCTGACATTAAAAAATTGTTTTGACACAATAAGTAAAGATTATCACCCTTTAGTTGGCAAGCCACAGTTCAAAACAACCTAGACTGAAAGAAATGTCAGGACTTTGAAAATTCTCCACTTTCCTCCATTTTGTTGTCAAATTCTTGACAAAAACTCGGCCCATGTATCACAGCAATTTAGCAATGATTTAATTCTTTTCCCTTTTCCTGTGGAATTCTGTTTGCACATCCTCCCCCCCCCCATCACCTGCAGTTAGGCTGTACTGGAGGTCAGCATGAAACGTACAAGTGTAGGCTTAAGCTCATGGAAAAAAGTACTTAAGCATATTTTTTCCCTCCAGTCTCACACAAAAGCAAACAGGACTATATTCTTCCCCCTCTGAAACTTAATGGCTCCTTTGAGCACATTTACACGGGCCTCATTCTATGCATGTATGCATGCAATGGCATATGCTGCTGTTTCAGGAGCCAGCTTGCTATCCTGTGGTTGAAACCCCTAAGGGAGTGGGGTTCTAATATTTCTCTGGATACATACACAGTGAAGAACAGGCCTTCACTGTACTTCTTCGTCCTTCACACAGAAACTGCCCTTGTCCTTGCTGGATTTGCCAGAGAAGTTCCTCCATGGGGAGGAGGAAAGCAGAGAAGCCACAGCAAGATCTCACAAATCCAGAAAGCACAGTTAATAATGTGGTGGATATATATATATATATGTATATATATATATCCTAATTCATGCCTCTAGAAGAAAACACGTAGTCAAAAGGAAACAAGAGAGCATTAAATTACCTGCTCGAGTGATCAAAAAAAAAAAAAAAAACAACTCTCTATGCACTGGGGGAGATATAACCTCTGTCCCTTGAAACTCTTGCATTGGCAAACTCGATGTTAAGTTATAGCTCCAGAGTCCAGGGAGAGCTAAGAGCAAAGAGCATGTCCCCAAGAAGCTTCGAGGTCACATGTCTCTCCCAGAAGGGCAAGGCTGTGACAGGAATGCATGTGCCTGTCTGCACTCTGGGAAAAGAGGTGGGAGAAGCTGTAGTTGAAACAGGCTAGAGGGACTGAGGTTATGGAGAAATGGGGGAGAGGGAGGAAAGGGAATGATAACCCCCCCCCCCGTCCCACACGTTTGAAATAAGAATTCTCATCACATTTGAAAGAATAAAGGCCCTTAGAAGGACGGTGGGATGGCTTTACTGAAGTTGCCCCACTCTGGAGGGTGGGCGGGGGTAAACTACACCGCGGCTGGCTCTGGCCCACCGGTGTGTGGTGTGTGTCCGGAGTAAAGGTTTGGGCTGCTGTAGGTGCGCGCGCCAGTAACCCCACCTTTAGGGAAGCTGCTGGCTCTTCCGTGTTAATAGCCCCGCTGACCTCACCCCTCCATCCCCACTCCTCTGTCCCTCCTCTCCCCCCCCCTTCCCCACTTCCCTCCTTCCCACCTCCTCCCTTCCTGCGCGCCTCCTTGGCGGCACCGGCGGGTGGAGGAGTAAGGCGGCAGCACCCACTCTGCCAGCAGCTCCTGCCCGCAGCGCGCTCGCTCGCCGCGTCCCCGGCTCACACGCAGCGCCCGCAGCCTGGGGCCCTCCTCGCCGCGCACGGTGCGCACGGCCCGGGCTGGCCCAGCGGACCCCGTGGGGCTCAGCGCGCCACCAGCAGCCGAGGAGGGAGGGCGGCGTGGGAGAAGGACATCGAGACGTTGGGGCGGTCGCACGGAGGTGACCAGCTGCGCACCTGGAAAGTTACCCGGCTGGCTGGTGAGGTCGGCAGGAGGAGGGAATTGGGGGACCCGGGATGCGAGGGGAGGGACAGGATCGGGAGGAGGGGGGGGTTCTTGGGGGTGCGGGCTGTCTGTGTGTGCATTGCGCGCAGAGCTGCTCGGGTCCACACCCAGCTTGGTGCCTGGCTTGTACTGTATGTGTGTGTGTGTATAACGTTCACTCGGTGTGGTATGGTTGCTTGTGTGCAGCAGCTCAGATTGGACCTGACTGTGGCCGCGAAGGCCTGGGCTGCTGCTGGGGTCCGAGGCTCCAAGGTGCTGTCCAGGTGTGAGCGTCTCCAAGGCTTAGCGTCTCCAAGATCTGGCGCAGCTGCGAGGAGACAGCTGTCGGACAAGGACTTTTACAAGTCCTTGTAAACTTGCATGGGTGTCCTGTGTCACTCCGGGCAGCGCCAGGCGCTTCCACATCTCGGTATTGTCCTGGTGATGACACGAGGAAACAAATGAAAGCAAGAAAGCAGCCGCGTTGGGGACGGGAGACAAAACAATGGGTTCAAGCACACAAGTGTGAAAACTAAAGTGTGAAAAAAAAAAAAAACAGGGCCCTTGAGGCCAGGGCCAAGAATGCAAGGAAAGGATGCAGGTAACGCTCTTAGGGGGAAGATGGCGCTGGGACAGACGCCTTGGTTTCATGATCTTCATCATACCGCCCCAGGGATACTTTATTTTATTTTTCTTAAAGGAAGAGCGCGGCATACACCTGCTCCCTGCCACACCCCCATACACACAGTTCCTTAGAGACTGTTCCTTTTTCTTTGCAAGTTTCTATTTAACTCTGGGAGAAGGCGATCTTCCCACATGCTACACAGCAGCTGTTGCCAGTTCAGTTTTGCGGGGGGGGGGGGGAAGGAGGAGGAGGGGGAGAGGCTATGAGCAGATTTGGTGGAGAATTCACTTGGGGAAATTAAGAACTTCTCTTCTCCATTGCAATACAGGATAACCAAAAATAAGCGGCATACAGAGATAGTACTCAATATCTTCCTCTTTTACTTGGAATTCTGAGCTCCAGTTCTCAGCTTTCCCTATCAATAGAGGTTAATGAGAATTCACCTCGCCGCAAAGGCCCTGTGGCCTGGATTGTTGCCCAGGTCCTATGATCCAATATTGTCTTCTTTTCCTGTAGACTGTTTTCCAACCCTCATTAGTTTATTATCTTGTTTTTTTTTTTTTTACCAAACTCTCATGGCCATTGTTGTAAAAGTCATTTGCTCTGTGATCATGGTATATCACCCTGAAGTCCCTACACTTAGCCTTGGCCCTTTCTGTGGTATTTGGTAACTGAGTTTCTGTCCTAACCCTTCTCTTTTACAAAGGGCTGAATTCAGTGCCTTCCCTTCTAAGCTCATTTCCTTGGACATGTTTGGGATTCGATGTGCAGCTTGGCTCACCTCTTGAAACTCATCTCCATGGCTTGCTTCCTACTCAGATTTCTTATATGTACAATTATTGGTTTCTATTTCTTGACCACCACCACCACTACCATCACCACCATCTTCTCTTCCCCTTCCTCCTCCTCCTTTCTGACAGTCCGGGGGCTTGAACTCAAAGTTTGGGCACTGGCCCCGAGTTATTTTGTTCAAGGCTAAGCGCTCTACTACTTGAGCCACAGCACCACTTCCAAATTTTTGGAAGTTTATTGGACATCAGAATATCAAGTGCTCTACTTCCTGGGGCTGGCTGAAACCACAAGCCTCGGATCTCAGCCTGCTTATTAATAGCTAGAATTCCAGGAATGAGTCACTGGCTCTTCCTCTTCTTATGACCAGTGTCTAGGGTCCTCAGTTTTACATCCACATATGTATTGATTACTATTAGATATTTTATTGTCTCCCTTTCTTTTAATTTTCTTCTTTCTCCTTCATTTCTTCCCGCTTCCTCAATTCCCCTACTTAAAGTTTCTCCCACAGGCTCCCGTGAAATTAGCATGTCCAAAATTAAATTAGCAACTCATCTCTCAGAACTGCTTTTTATTTTGGTTACTGACATCGCCCCTTACCTAACCACCAAAATATAAGCTCAAAAGTCTATATTTTCTTTCTTTCCACCACCACTCAAATTCTATCAACTATAATCTCCTGGCTTCTAACTACATGCCTATATTTCTGTGTTTCCTTGTTTATCTGTTAACGTAGCACCTAGAAATAAATGAATACTGAATGGTACTAAATTTGGCAGTGAAATATAGAATGCGTGTCATTCATAAAATCTACTGTGAACATTTTTTTTTTCTGAAGGAAGGCATTTCCAACATAGCCTTGGGAATAGTTTAAATGTTGGTACAATAAACTCACATGATTTGTGGTTAAGAAAAAATGTTACTCTCCAAACCAAGACACTATGGACAGAGAAAACAAGCAGTATTTCACAACGGAGCTTTATGCTAATAGTCACAAGGCCCAGTGCACAGATGCTTTTAATTGTAGTGTTGATATGGAAGTTAGCTGTTTCTCACAGAAAACGGTGTGATTTGCTTTAGGGAGCAGAAGGACCTCCTATATTCAATAAATTATTTTCTAAAGGAATTAGGACAATACAGCTGATGATAAGACCAAATTGAGATATCCATATATATGTATATATCAGTTTTATATACATTTAGAATTTGATCTTAAAAAGCCTATATAATTCACTCTTCTATTTCTTTTGAACTGAAACTACTTATATCATAAAAAGATCTATCTGCTTTTCATGGTTTATTGAATGAAAGGAAATTATAGTTACCTATAGCCATAACTTTTATGAAATCTTCTCTGATGATATTTTTTCTCATTACTATGGAGATGGGCTATTTTTTCTCTAGTTGAACATGTTCAGGTTGTTAGAATAGAGTTGGGATGGTATTAGTCTGAATCTTGTACTTATCACATCTTACTTGTATCTCTGCAATACCTCTTACTTTGTCTTACTTCCTCTAAACTCTTTTCACCCATTCCATATTTGTTCCCAAGAAAATAAATTTCATCTTTCTAAAGGACAGATATGACCATATAACTTAAAATCTGTCTTGCATTTAAATCCATTTGCTATTCGTGGTATATCCTTCAGTATCTTACTCCAGTTCCTTACTGTTTTAGCTTCATTACTCATCACTTTCTTTCCACCCAGTTTTCATTTTATCCTGCTTTCTAAAAATGCAAACCATTTTTACATCCATTTCTTAGGACATGATTCTTTTTTAATTAATAGACTTTCCATTTCACAGTAATCTTATATTTACAGAATATCTAGCTGAAAAGTACAGTTTCTTCTATATATCCCTCTCCAATAGAGTCTCTTTAACCTTCTTCCAAGAGTGTGATACTTTAGGTACAATTGGTGATCAAATATTGATCTATTATGGTTGACTTGAGTTTAGCCTGAGCATCAAAGTCCGAGAAACTCTTATTGCCAATAAACTATGTAAAAAAAAACAAAAACAAAAAACTGTAAGTGTGGTAGAGTACTAGCCTTAAGCAAAAAAGCTCAGGACAGTGCCCAGGCCCTGGGTTCAATCCTCTGGATTGGCACAAAAACAAAGAACAACAAAAAAGAGCTCATTGTTTATGTCTTGTGTTGAGTATTTCCTGGTCTAGACAGTAGTAGATAATGAGGCATCTCCATCATCTTACATTCCGCTGGTTCAGTCTTCTATCCTTCTCCCAAAGTCCTAGCAACCACGGATATTTTTCTAGTATTTTCAAGTTTTGTATTTTCCAGAATGCCATATTCATTCATTCATTCATTCATTCTCTATGTACATTTTTTCCATACTGGCTTCTTTCATATAGTAATACGCATTTGCAGTTCCTCTATTTCATGTGATCATTTTTTATTATTGAATACTATTTTATTACATGGATAGATGACAGTTTACTAACCCCTGGGAGGACCTGGTTGCTTTCTAATTTCAGCAATCATGAATAACACTGCAGGCTCTGTCTTCCAAAGTTGCTATATCCTTTCTTTTATGTGCCTGCCAATCGAATGAGAGTTCCTGGTGTTCCATGTCCTTGCCAGCTTTTGGTGTTGTCTGTGTTTTGGATTGGAGTCACTCTAATCTGTGTCTAGTGGTATCAAGACAGTGGTTTCCTATTTGAAATTTCCTAATAGCGTATTATTGCAAGCATCTTTTCACATGCTTATTTGCCACCTGGGAATCTTTGGAATGGTGCCTGCTCATCAACTTTGCCTTTTCCATGACAAAAATATATATACTTGTGAAGCCAAACACCCAGTGGCTCACAGCTGTAATCTTAGCTACTTAGGAGGCTGAAATCTGAGGATCATGGTTGAAAGCCAGACTGGGCAGGAAAGTCTCTGCGAGACTCTTATCTCCAATGTTATAACCACCAAAAAGGAGCGTTCACTCAAGCAGTAGAGCATTAGCCTGGAGCAAAGAGAAGTTCTAGGACAGTACCCAGACTCTAAGTTCAAGCCCTAGGATTGGCATACAAAATAATATTGTTGTATTAAGAATTCCTCTTTATTAACTTTGTATTTTATTATGTCGATATTAAGTATTTTCTCCTAGTTAATGACATCTTACTTTATTCTCTTCCTTTGTAGAGAAGATTTAAATTTCAATGAAGTTTCAATCATCAGTTTTTCCTCCCATAAATCATGTTTATTTAGTCTTTTATCTCAAAAGGTTAAGATCATCTGGATATTTTTTTATGTCTTATAGGAGTTTTATAGTTTTTTTTAAATCATATATTTAGGTCTGTAATCTACTTGGGAATTATTTTTTAGCAAAAGACACAAGATCCTATCTAGTTTTTATTTTATTTTAATTTTTGTTTAAAGGGTGAAAGATTTCCCCATTGACTTGCCTTTGCATCTTCGTTAAGGGGTAGTTAAGTACATTACCTGCATCTGCTTCTGTGCTTTCTTTTCTGTTCCATTGATCTACTTGTCTATTCTTTCACCGGAGCCTTCATAGTCCTTTTGCTTTTCACAACATCTGGATGATTGTAACTTTGTAGTAAGTTGGGAAGCGTCAGTTCTCTGAAGATGTCTCCTATAATTTTATATTGATTTAGTTTGTGTTTCTGAACAATATTTTTTCTACTAATACATTACTTTTTTGGGTACATAACATTAACAGCAAAAACAATAGTAACATTTCATATGTATTGAACAAAGTGCTATATACCAGGTGCTCTGAGAAATCTTATCATGGTCTATTTGGTTAACATTCTGAGAATTCTAAGTGGTAGGAGACTTTATTTTGTCTATCTATCCATCTATAATGTACACAATTATTTTTATGTAATTACTTGTCTATCCATCTAACCTCCCTATCTCTTATCTACTATCTATCTACTAAAGCATCTATCTACTTATTTACTTATCTCTTCCACCACAGACACTGCCCAGTAGTTAGCCTGAAGGGGCATAGAAACTACAGGGCAATGCTTGGACAGGGAGTCTGCCTCTGTGGCTTTATACCTGGTAGTATGCTAAAGATCACTGCTGAGTTTTTTGTTGTGTTATGTCAAATCTATTGGCTTTATAACTCTTCCATTTCCCATATTTGCAGATACAAATACATGATTGTATGTCTGTGTTTATGCCTGTGTAAGTATATTTACATCAGACTCCATATGAGTATATAGAGAGAAACAGATATCATCTAGATCATGTCCAAGTTTTTGGTTTCAAATTATTTTAGGACTTCAGGAAAAAGAGAAAACAAAGCCCAGTGTTTCCCATATTGACTGCCAGGTGTGACCTGGCATGAAGCAGCCCTTTTACTTGCACTCTTCTGTTTATCATTTGGGTGGATGACATTTCCTGAGTAATCAAATGTAATAGTAAAAAAATATAATATTAGCCGGGTGGCAGTGGCTCATGCCTGTAATCCTAGCTACTCAAGAGGCTGAGATCTGAGGATCGTGGTTCAAAGCCAGCCCGGGCAGGAAAGGCCGTGAGACTCTTAACTCCAATAAAAAACATTAGAAAACTGGAAGTGGCGCTGTGGCAAAAGCGGTAGAGTGCTAGCCTTGAGCTGAAGAGCACAGGGACAGTGCCCAAGCCCAGAGTTCAAGCCCCACGACCAACCTTACCCTTCCTTCTCTACTCTTCTTTTCTATCTGCCTTCCCCTCCCCTCTCTCCTTTCCTCTCATACTTCCCTTCTCTCTAGTCCCCTGTACTCTCCTCTCCACTTCTTCCGTTCTCCTTTCTACCTCTTCCATCCCTGGCTCCAAAAGTGCATTACCTCCTCAGTGAACTTTGCTAATTTTCCTGCTCTGTTCGGTGAGCCTTTTAGGTGTAAGGATTTCACTGTAAAGTGTGAAAACAAATAGGGATTACATGAGGGAATCACTAGGCTCAAGGAGGTCTTGCAATTCTGAATTGGCTTTGCATTATTCATAATGCTTTTTTTTTAAATCAGTCTTTCAGTGGAGTTTGTTTCAGAATGCTGCAGAGTGATTTTCTTTTTTTGTGATCCTGGGGTTTTGAATTCAGAGCCTCATAATTATGTCTCTAGCCTTTTTTGCTTTAGTTTGTTTTCATATGCTCTCATGCTTTTGACCAGTTGGCTTCATACCATGATTCCCCACACCTCCACTTCCTGTAACTAGGATTACAGGCATGTAACACCACCCTTAACTTATTTTTTGAAATAGAGTCTAGCTAACTTTCCTCCCATAAATATGTAATATGATCTTTTTAATTCTGCCTCTTGATTAGCTGGAATTATAAGTGGGTCATCACTCCAATCCCATGATGTATTTACTTAATGAAAGATACAGTCCAGGTAGAGTAAGGCCTCTGCCTCTCCCAAGAGAATATTTGCATTTATAGACTTCTTGTCTGGAAGGCATCTACTACTCCACACTTCGGCATATCTAGGAATAATCTATAGTCTATACTACTAAAAGAGCTACTATTTAGCTGGTGCATTACTACATGCCAGACATTTTAGAAGGTACTTCACAAATATAATCTTCATAATAACCATATAAGATGGATGTAAGTACATCAACTTCCTAGATTTAAAAAAAAAAAAGCTAAATCAGGGAGACCAAGTAATTTGCTGAAGGGTGCTGGAGAGCAGATTATTTTCAAGTCCTGATTCCATTGCTAATGTTAAATTTGTGCCTTTATCTCTAAAGTCATTTGTTGTTACATCATGCGCTGCACTCTACATGTAAGAATTATTTTAATAACCTGTATAGCTACAATGATAAAACAGCATCCTGTGGTTCAATTCTCATTGTGGCTAGCAATCCATACTTGACAAATAGCTTCCCTTAGTGACTGATACAAGCAAACAGAAGGTATCTAATTAGGTTTTCTGAAGCCAGTGACTTGAAACCTTGGCTTCGGGGACAACAGAATCTCAACAGTTAAACTAAAAAATCCAACAGCTAAAAACTGAAGACAACTAAACTAAGAAATCAGACTAGTAGTGAGCATGTTACAGCTTTAGTCATCTTCAATTAGTGACTTGAAAAATGAGTTTGTTACTCTCTTTCTACCCATCTCTAAAATTCTAAAGAACACGAAAGCTTTGCACAATTTCTTAACTGACTTCATTAAAACCAGAAAATAGGTGGCATTTTGGTTGTACTTATATCGTCTACATAATTGTGCTTTTGGGTTGGAAAATATTGGATAGGCACAGCATTTTTTTCTTGTCATTCACAGAACAAAATTTCCATGTTCAAGGTGCTAGAAATGTTCTCACTGTCAAGTTCTCCTGCAAATCCGTGAAAGGATATGTCCGGATATAGTACATGACACGTAGTTAGATCTCAGTAAACAACCGTTCTATGAATAAAGGATGAGTTGTTAGTATAATATTAAATTTAAATGTGTTTCTGCTTGCTTTTGTTCTTTATAAGGTAGTTCCTTTCTCCTCCTACCCCTCTGTGACCTAAAAATGCTTCTCTATGAACTATGTATCCTGTCTAGAAATTAGCTTAGTGTTTCATGTTAAAAATTTGTGCATATGTTAATTTAGATACTTACGGGAGCATCTTGGTATGACTAATTTAAAATCTCATTCAAGTTAATTCTCAAACCTCACTCTAACATCCTTTGAATCACTAATTCCAGCTCCTCAACCTTCTTATATATTGTTCATATCTAAAGATAATATGTATTTCTACTGAACAGGAAGTTAAAGGTTAATCTTGTCATATTTCTGTAACATACTAAGGCAACTATCTTTGGGGTAATGTTTATTAATGACTACTTTGAACTGAACTCCACAAGAGATATGCTAGAGTTCTCAGATTACATTCATAACTGAATTTAATTATTTTGCTCAGATCATTTATCTTCAGCAATTCTCATTGGCAAATTGGTTTTATCTGCTTGAACTGTAGAAGCTAGAGTATATCCTTATATTTATGCCTGTTCAGAAGTTACCATTAATCTGGTAGGACTAGTAAAATAAAGCTGAATACTTCATTTCTACCTGAACTTAAAATTTGGAGGGCGAGAAAGACAGGAAATTATGGAAAATTCAAACTTTCATCTCATTCAGGCCTCATTTCCAAGTATTATAATGCTTCATGTATTATGGCAAAAGCATAAAGTAGGTAACTAGAAAATCTTGAGACATTATCATATTGTATCACAACAATATTTGCCAAATTTCTAGTTCTGCTTTCAACATTTTGCTTTAATGTGTTTATCAGCATATTATTTACTTTTATTTTCATTGAATTAACTCAGTCAAATTAAACACTTAAATTAGTCTCCACTGAAGTTAGAATGTCAGGAAACCAAAATTTTATGATGTTCATTTTTATATGTATAAATAAATGTTGAATATGTAGCTTTGAAGTAAAAAATTTGATATCAACTCAAATTATCTTTCATAATCCTCAATCTTCCTATCATAACTGGAGAACCATCAAATTGGCCATAACTTTAGGAGCCACATGAGAATATTCTTCTGTCATTTGTGTGTGTGTGTGTGCCAGTACTGGGGCTTAAACTCAGTGCCTGGGCATTGTCCCGGATCTATTTTGCTCAGGGATAGCACTCTACCACTTGAGTCACAGCTCCACTTCTGGACTTTTTAGGTGGTTAATTGGAGATATGATTCTCATGGACTTTCCTGCCCAGGCTGGCTTTGAATGGTCATCTTCAGATCTCAGCCTCTGTAGCTAGGATGACATGTGTTAGCTACCAGCACTTAGCCAGGATATTCTTGATAGAAGTAGAGAATCTTTCACAATAAGTCACCATTTTGTGGAGATCTGCTTTTAGCACCTAAACTAAAGGCTATTGAAAAGTCACCATACTTGCTTTTGGGGACCACAGTCCAGTAGTTTTTAATAATGAGCATTATCAGAGATTCTGTGTTCAATAGTACATGAAGCAGGAGAAAAGTACCAATAAGGCAACACCAATTCTGCATCCACTTTGGGAAAAATGCAGATGTGTTATTTTCTAAATCAGGGGAAGCTTCCTGACTGTAGCTACACAGGGAGCTGGGAGAGTTGTGACATTTTCCAAGCCTCTGTCTCTGTCGCTGCTCTTTTGCATTTGGTCTCTGCCATGCTGACATCCAGATCCCAGTCTTGCTGTGATGCTTTTGACAGCTATCCTGAGAGAACAACCAAAGAGAACAGCAGGTAACTGGTGCCGGTTGTGCAAAATGCTTAGGTGTGATACTTGAACGCAGGAAGGGATGGAACAGAATTACCAAGATTTAAGCTTTACTTAACAGAGGGAGAAAGGAAATCGATGACCAGTTTGCCTTCTGAAAACCATGGAGGGAATTTATTGCTCCCCAAAGGATGAGGACTGCTATGTTTGTATTTAGCAAGCAGAATGGAATGAGAAGGGTGGGAGGTGCTTTGGAAAAATGGAACTCTACTTGGTCATTCCCAGTTCTTTATCCTTTTTTTTTGGTTGTTGTTGTTTCAGGTCCCTGAGCAACATGGGAAATGGTTCCGTGAAACCCAAACACTCCAAACATCCTGATGGCCACTGTGGGAGCCTCAGCACGGAGGCTCTGAGGAACAAGGTGGTAGAGCTGGAGAGAGAGCTGAGGAGGAAGGATGCTGAGATTCAGGAGAGGGAGTACCATTTGAAGGAGCTTCGGGAGCAGCTGTCAAAGCAGACAGTGGCCATCGCTGAGCTCACCGAGGAGCTGCAGAACAAGTGCATCCAGCTGAACAAGCTACAGGATGTGGTCCATATGCAAGGAGGGAGTCCAGTGCAGGCCTCTCCTGATAAAGTGCCTCTGGAAATCCACCGCAAGACCTCAGGATTGGTCTCTCTCCACAGCAGGAGAGGTGCAAAGGCTGGAGTGTCTGCTGAACCGACCACCCGAACCTATGACCTCAACAAACCCCCAGAGTTTTCCTTTGAGAAAGCAAGAGTCAGAAAGGACTCCAGGTAAGAAGTTTCTACACCCCTTTAAGTCAGGTCATCCTCCTGTTAGGAAGAGCTAACATGATGTTCATATACTCCTAGCTTTGGTGATGGAGGGGATTGGTCAGGTAGTATTGTTTTGCACAAGTGTCTCTCATTGAGCAGATTTTTCTTTAAACAGAACTTTTTCATTTACCTGGATTTCAAAGTAGACAGATGTAACAATGGGTAACAATTGCCATTATCTTGAAAATCCTAGGGAATGAAGAGGTAGGATTAGGAAGTCTCCACTCTCTTTCCAACGGAACAAATTTAAAGATGTGCACAACTACAGTGAGGTATGACTATATGTGGAAGAAAACCAACTTCTTAGGATTTAATTCACCTAGAGTAAGATGCTGCTAGAGGCTTAAAGAAGCGTAGCTTTGTTCACTCATTGCACATATGATGTTCTGCTCCAACTTCTGGCACTCAGTGTGCAGGATGCTTAATATAAATACAGAAATCTTTCTTGTAGGAAAGACAGTGTGTACCAAAGCAAATAAAAAATGTGTTATTATTAATTGAGATAAATGATGTCATAGTTATAACAAAATAGTAGGTGGTATATTGAAGAGGGTTGAGTGACAAAGATTGGATTGTCATGAAGTCCTGGCTGAAGAAATGGCCTCCAGTTGAGACCTGAAGGACAAAAATGAATAGAGACAAGTTGGCGCTGGTAGCTCACGCCTATAATCCTAGCTACTCAGGAGGCTGAGATCTGAGGATCATGGTTCAAAGCCAGCCTGGGCAAAAAAGTTTGTGAGACTCTTATCTCCAATAAACCACTAGAAAACCAGAAGTGGTGCTGTGGGTCAAGTGGTAGAGCACTTGTCTTGAGCTGAAGAGCTAAGGGAAAGCGCCTAGGCCCAGAGTTCAAGCCCCATGACCGACTCCCCCCCCCCCGCAAAAAAAATAATTGAACAGAGACAGAGCAGAAAGAGCGTTTCAGGCAAAGGGACTAGTTAAAATGAGAATCAATTTTAAAAACGGGACTATTTTCCTTTAAATCATGGACTATTTGGGTATATTTATTATGGGGTATAATGTGATGTTTCAACATATATTTATACCATATGCTGATCAAATCAAGGCAATTATCAATTTTATCATTTTTTATTGTTTGGAGCAAAATTAAAATACTTGAAAGAGCATATAAATCTTTCCCACCATAGTCTTATGTTTATGTGAGTTTGTGTATATAAATGTTTGAATGCATGTACATTTTTTTGTTTTGGCTAAAGCTCAATTTTCCTAACTAGGAAGGATTGGTTAGAAATATAAATTAAGGTTGTCCTTTGGAATTACTTTAGAAATTACATATTTATCTGTTGAAATGAGGTCTTTTGTTTTGATAATGTCTTTGTGGAGCCAGAATCTCTTTTTTAAAATGCAAGATCTATGAAATTATATCAGATTTTAATTTATTCACAGATACAACTAGTATAAATCAAGGTAGCAAAAAAGAAATTGATTAATTTTTGTAGCAAAAATTTTAAAGGTGGCTCACATCTTCAAATTTCAAAGTAATTGACACATACAGAATGACCAACAAAAAACTATTACGTAAAATGTCATATTGGATTATTTATCACAATGGTATGTGGCAGAAAGAAAACAGGAGAGTCTTATTAGCCCCAAAGTCTTAATTTTTTTAATTTAATTTTATTTTATTTGTGAACATACTGTACAGAGGGGTTACAATTACATGGGCAGGATAATGGGTACATTTCTTACCAAGCATTGCATCTTCCTCCTTTATTTACCCTTCACATCCCTTCCCAGCCTCCCCCCTCCCCCCCAATCCCAATCCTTCTCCTTCCTCCCCTGCTCCC